GTTGTCTATTTCACATAAACCCCTAGCACATTTTTTAATAAGTAAAAGTATTTGAAATTTGGGGTTCTTCAGGACAACTGGAGTAGTCATCTAGTTAACTCGGAATGTGAATGGTTATCAGCTAGCAAGGGCTCCCATAAACTTTTGAATGAAAGACACTTCCCAGTTAAATTTTAATTAAACTTTTAAGATAATGGGGTCCCTGAGGTATTGTGGAATGCAGCTATGTGGCATGACTGTTAGCCTTAGTCAGAATGTTTATGAAGACAATGACCATGTTCATGAAGGGTGTGGAATGCATTGTCAAATATGGAGGCCGCTGGCCACATGTGACTCTTGAGCAACTGAAGTGTAGCTAGTGTGACTAAGGAACTGAAATTTAAATTTCATATTGCTATTAATTTAAATGTAAAACTCACTGTAAAATATAATATTTTAAATTTAGTACCTGTTAAAATGATACTATTTTGGATACATTTGATTAAATAAAATATATTTTAAAAATTAATTTCACTTTTTTCTTTCTACTATTTAAAAGTGTAGCTACCAGAAAATTGAACTTATGTTTGTGGTTTGCATTATATTTCTATTGGACAGTGCTGAATTTGTCTAGAAGGCGAAGGGACAGGGTTATTTATTTGCACTCGCTGGGGTAGAGTGTGCATGCAAGGATCTGAGGCTCTAGAACACATGCTCTGCTCTTCCGCTCAGCCCTCAGGCCTCCTGCCCACATCTGGGTGCTGCGGAGATTACGCTCCTCTTCGAACTTTCTGAGGTCAGGGGCCATCCCTTTTCTTTAAGCAAGCCCATTATCCCAGGGCTGGGGAGAGTGTATTAACTGTGTAAGGCTGGCGAGTCTCAGTTACTTTCAAAGGGTCTGGAAACATAGGTTTGGGAATGAGACATAAAAAATAATGGGATCAAGAGAGGGCTGGCTTGGGGAGGGTGGTTAGGACGACTGGGGAAGAATAGGGAAAAAACAGTGGATGCCAAGCGTTTGACATTATTCTAGTGCTTAAGTTAGGTGGCAGGTAATGAATGTCAATTTTGTTATGCCTCATAACTTACGTATGTGTTGCAGATATGTATCAAAATTTCTATAATTAAAATGAAAGGGTTGGGGTAAGAGAATTATCAACGAA